GACTCATAGCGACCCTATGAACGAACAGCCTGAGCACTGTTCATACATAGAATTTCCAGAGGCAAGCCATTTTGGAAGTGGATGCCGCTCCTGCTTCCAGGCAGAGAACAAATAGGTTTGTGTTAAAGAGGATGAAACCAAGTTTCTCCTTAGAAGATTTTGGAGATCCATCTCATACTTAGGGCATGTGGCCATTCCTTGGAGAAGAACATCATTCTTGGAAGGGTAGAAGAACAGCACAGGAGAGGAAGACCCCGGATGAGATGGATTGACATGGTAACTGGGACAAGGGAAATAAATAGATGTGTCAGAGTCAATGAGACTGGCTAAGGATAGGGCAGGGTTCAGAGCTATTACACATAGGGTCGCCATGAGCCACAGGCAACTTGACAGCATACAATAATAACAATAACAACATACCACATTTTGTTTATTCATTCATTTATGATGGACATGGGTCATTTACACATTTTATCTGTTGTAAATACTCCTGAAGTGAACACTGGTGACAAATATTTGAGTCCTTGCTCTTCCAATTCTTTCAGGTATTTACCTAGGAGTGGAATTTCTGAGCCATATGGTATTTCTATGTGTAACTTTTGAGGAACCACTGAACTGTTTTCTAAAGTGTTTACATATTTTTAAATTCTCACTAGCAATATATTTCAACATCAAGAAAACAAAAATTCTCACTTCTGGACCAATAGAAAACATCATCATGATAGAAAGAGAAAAAAAATTAAAAATTGTTAACAATTTTATCTTAATTGGATCAATAATCAACACACTTGGTACAAGAAGTCATGAAATAAGGAGACATATTTCATTGGGAAAGTCAGCATTTAAGAACCTCTCCATTGAGGAGCAGTGAAGTAAGTTTGAGGACTAAGGTGTGCCTGATTCAGGCTGTGATCTTTTCAATTACTTTCTATACATATGAGAGCTGGACAATGAATAAGGATGACAGAAGAAGAATTTATGCCTTTGAGCAGTGATGTTGGAGAAGAGTGTTAAATATCACATAGACTGTCAAAAGTACAAACAGATATGTCTTGGAGAAAGTGTAGTCAAAGTGCTCCTTGAAGGCAAAGATGACAAAGCTTTGTCCCACATACTTT